GCTAAAGATGTTTTAAAACAGTATTGCTCAGGAGTTTTTTGGATAACTATTTTAAATTGTAGCAGTAAGAATTGGAAAATACAATTTTATGCCCAAAATGTACATCTAATTAGAAGCACTGGCATGTGATCCATTTTTCAGAAAATATAATAGTATTTCTTTCATGAAGAAAAAAACATTCTAATGACAATAATCTCGTTTTCTCTTGTCTATACAGATTTGAAATGTGATTAAAATATTCAGTTACCATACTGTAAATAAAAGAAAACATTATAATGGCTTATTTTTTCTTCCTTGTCCTATTTCCAATAAAGGCTGAATGACAGTTTGTCATTTGTTACTATTAAATATGGAGTCATGCTCAAAAGCCTTTTTTAAAATAAGAAGCCTTAAAAATGGACACATTATGAAAAAAAACAAACACAAAACAGAGTTGACACTAACACGATATAAATGGTAACTTGTCTGTTCTACTAATACTTGAAGCAATGCTTGGACAGATCAGGTGTAGCGGAGCTAGTTTGGGCACAGTGACTTCATCGCCCTCCCTGCGCGTAGCAGGAACCTCAGCTGCCTGGACTGGGAGAGGTCTCCTTTAGCTCATTCGGCTGGTTCCCTGTTGCGTTACGCCAGAGACCCGGGTTCGCACCCAGGTGTTGCGGGACGAGCTGGTGGGGTGGAGTGGCGAGGGCACGAGCCCACGGAGAACCACGAAGGTCACACAAGCCAGATGACTTATAACTGCAACCAAGTCTTGGTTGAAGAGTTGAAGAGTTGGAGGGGAGGTGCTGAGCAGGTTTAAGACTCAAAGGAAAGCGATGTTTGGTTTAAGGGACATGAGTCGAAGTACTGTACATAAATACCCTAAAAGCTGTATGGTGTAGCTCAGATTATCTAGAGGATATCATTACAACGTGGCTGTATACGGGGGTGGTAATTGGAAAGAAAGTGCAAGTGCAAGTGACCAGAGAGTGGCAGAAATGCGTGAAGAGATCAGACTGGTTGGGGGTGGAGTTCTCCAGTATGGAGGGAAAGTGAAGTGAAAATCGAGTGCTAACTGATTTATACTGTAGATTACTAGCTGGGAGGGCTTAGATAGCCCTAACCGGTCAGTAATGAAAACAAAAAGGCTAAGATGCGGACAGTTTGAGGAGAAGTCAGCAGTCCACATCCCAGGTAGAAAAAGAAGAAAGGCTGACATGGCATAGCGCCAACCTTCAGAGAAACTGACCAACTCAGTCCATTGGGCAGAGTCAGAGAGCCTCTGAGCAGGGAGTCTCACTGTCTTGGCTTTGAAGCAGATTCCTATTATCTTGCTTCCGGGAAAAGGGTCCATGGGGTCTAGTGGACAAACTTCTGAAATAGCCTGAAGTGCAGGCATGCAGACAGGCAGACAGGCAATATAAAAATGAAGGGGAAAAGAAGGAAATTCTGGCCAGCGAAGCAAAGATTGCCCTACTTGGTCAGAAAGGAAAAAGAATGGGTGAGGAGTGACAGTTTAAGGAAAGACTGACTCTCTGCATCCCTGGGGGAAAATGAGAAAGGTCAGCAAGGCATAGCGCCAGCCTTCATCCAAACTGCTCAGCTCGGCCCATCAATCACATTCAGATAGCCTCAGAGCACAAGGTGTCACTCTCTTGACTTCGAGGCAGATTCCTATTACCAAGCTTTCGGGGAAAAGGGGGCCAGAGATCCACTAGAGATCAGCTGTACTTCATCCTGAAGGCATCACTGAGTGAAGCTGTACTTCATCCTGAAGGCATCACTAGTTCAATGCACACATCGTAATGGGGGTCTCTTCAGTGACCAGGTCAGACTTGCACTGTCATATTCATCACTTAGGAAGCACCCAGGTGTGGTTAGCACTGGCATCCTTTGGAGCAAAAACCTGTCTTCTAGTCTCCTTTCATCCTCCAGAGTCCTGGGTCACCACAGCCATGAGCAGAGCACAGCCATGAGCAGAATCCACATGCACAGGAAACGTCAGGGAGGTCAGGCTAAAAGAGTGTCACAATTGCTGCTGCCTGGCTCCCTAGGAAGGAAGGGGCAGGTTCTAGAAAGAAGGGATCAGTGACCAAGAAAACCCCAGGAAGAGGCTGCAAAAATAAGAAAAGAGCCCTGAAGTGCTGGACAAAAAGGGTGCCCTGAAGAGGAGCCGTAAAGGTGGCAGAGACGACAGCAGTTGGAGAAAACACCAGTTTTCAGGACAAAAGTTCAGCGTGATACAGGCTGCTTGTCGGGGGGAAAAAGCAGCACGCAGATAGGTGTGGGGTCCTGGATGAGGAAGGGCGGCCAGGTGCTGCCGTGAAAGGTGAAAAGTTGACTGGAGTGAGGTGCAGAGTGAACACTCAATGGGAGACACTGAGCTGACTGAGCATTCGAAGGAAGGCGCTGAGCAAACTGATGAGTCGAAGGGAAATGCTGTCAGGGTGAAGACTCAAAGGAAGGCACTTACCAGACTGATGATTTTAAGATAAACCGCCATGCTGAAGACTCGAAAGGAATAGCTGAGCAGCCTGAAGAGTTGGAGGAAGATGCAGAGCAGGTTGAAGACACCAAGGAAAGCATGAGTCGAAGGGAAGTGTTGTCAGGCTGAAGACATGAAGAGAAGCACTGAGTAAACTGATGAAGTTGAAGTTCAAATTGCCCATCTCAGCCTGTCAAATGGAGTCAGGGAGCCGCGGGGCACTCTCGGCTTTGGAGCAGATTCCTATTACCAAGCTTCAGGGAAAGGGGGATGCACTGGTCTCATAGACAGCCCTCTTGAGTCGCCAGGGATGCAGGGCGATGGGTCAAAGGGAGCAGTGCAGGCTGCTGCAGTGGTATGGGATGAGACCAGTTGGGATGAGGGCAGAGCAGCCCTGGTATTCCAAACAGCAGATGCTATCCCTGGAATGAAGTTGGGCACTCGACGGAAGGTGAGGGGCCAGTTAAGTGTGGTCCAGAGCAGAGGAAAAGCCCAGGAAAGTCGCTGAAGGTTCAGCCCACAGAAACCAAGGATCACGGGATGGGCGAGGGCCGTACTACCAGGGAGTCAGTGAGAGGAAAATGGAATAATGACGAAGCCCGCAACAGAAGTTTTCCAGGGCAACCACAGGCTGAGAGACGTTGCAGGACAGTGGTCATAACAGATGCTTTATATAATCATTTTCCAGGGCTGTGATAGTTATCTCTGGATTGAAACAAGCTTGAGTATTAACATATACAGTACACTGTAATCATCATTAGAGCTCCTAGTAGTTTAGTAGTTTGTTAATCTTTGAACAGGGCATTCCAAATTAGGGATCAGATTTCACAATGGAATCATGGAAATAAATGCATCATCCTATTTATCCAGGAAAGCTACTCAACTAGTGGAACTTTAGAAGAAAATTTGTTTTAATGAAATCTAAATGTGATGGAGAGGTGTATGTTTAGGAAAGATCTGGCAGTATAAAAAAGAGTTATAAAATACAGTAGTTTCACAAGGAAATAATAAATTACACTCCTTGCACTTCTTTCAATATATTGCAGTCTTATTTAATTTAAAAGAATTTTACTGTTTTACTGCCACTCCCTTCATTTGTAAATCCCAGTTTTTAATCAATTGGCCTTTTAGCTGTAGCCCGAGAAGAGATGGAAGCAGTGTACAGATATATGTTCTGCACATTTGCTTCTTTCCACCTTCACAATCTACAGCACCAGCACCAGATGCACAGAATATCAGAAGACTACCTGAGGTGTCCTGGATACTGTGAGCATACATATGGCTGGAAAGCAGCAGGGGGCGCTATTGTGCAGCAAGCTGAGGCAACCATAGCTGATGGCAAACACTCCAAACCTTAGCAGCCCCTCTGTGGTGCCTCTTGGGTAGTCCTGTTTATTGGCATTGTGGGTTAATCATATTCCCTCTTTTCAACCTGGGATCTATGGAGCATCAGCAAAATCCAAAACTCTGAACAGAGGTCTGTACTGCTGAAGGGCCATCTATCATCTGATAGCATTTCACCCACTTCTCAGCATGGGGGACAAAGCTTTTAGTTTCACAGTGCATCACACATGCATCGTTTGTTAGGGGAAGGCGTACAATACAAATCTTAATGATAGTGCAGTGTTTCATCGCTGTTCATCAGAGCTTTACACAATTTGTACTCATCACTGCAGTGGACAAGTGGTTCAGTAAGCTAACAAGGAACTGAAACACCATAGCACAAAATCAACACTTACAAAATGAACACCCCCACCACCCACTTAAAAAGAGAAACATAATTTTTTATATTAAAACATTAAAAGATCACTGAAAAAACAAAAGAGGTACTGTAAGTATACTACTTCACCATGCTGATTGTCTGTAAGTTGCCGATAAACAGCTTGAGGGCAATAAGGTTTATCAAATAGGGCACATGGCAGCTTAGTGTCTGCATTGCAGGATTTCTCCTTGCTCAGATTAAGATGCCTCTATAAAAAGGAAGGGCTAGTCAAAGATCCCTGCTTAAATAGTAGACGTTTTTTTTCTGAGTGTATTCGGTTTACAGGAAATCATGTCGGGAATCCACATTGCACTTCTTCAGATAAGTCTGCTACGTGGTTTTTAGGAACACTCATTGCCACCATAAAAATTGAAAATTCACAGGCTGTCTGCTAAATGTAGTGTCAAATACGGCTCCCAGATTGTCATAGACCACTTTCTTCCAAAATAAAATTTCTTACCCAGACAAGAAATAAATACATTCAACAAATTCCCAGATTAAACGTGTAATACCTAGAATGGGATGGTTTTCTGGACATCTGTGAATTGCATGTTTCAGTTATGTAAATGAACAAATGAGAAATTCCATCCTTACCAATTGTCCATGCTGGACAATTCATGATATGACCTAAACCAAAATATTTTGAGGAACCCCATGTCATGTCTATAAATTCAAGCTGTAAATTTCCATTCTCATATGATTTTTGCTTTTTGACTTTTTTAGTCAAACTATTTCTTTCAAAACAACATTAAGGTATAGTTCAATTTTAATTTAACAGTAAAAATCAAATAAATTAACGACAGTATACAGAACAAAAAGAGCAGAAATACAATATTTGATGACCAACAGTTGGACATTCCAGACGTTTTTAATTCCACCTACAGTATTACTTCACATCAATGTCTTATTTTACACAGGTTTAGTACAGGTATTTTTGTATTAATCTGATCACTGTGCATGACTTTAATATTTTAATAATGTCAGTCAAATAAACCAAATTTCTATATAAATTATTTTAACACTGCAAATCCATACCTCTTCACATAACAAGTTCAAAATGTCATCTTGAATGAATCAAATTCCACAAGCATAAATCCAGTACACACTATGTGTTTTAGAGCATGGCAGGTGAAACTGAATAAACTTCTTGATAAACTGCTACCTTTGAATTCTCAATGATGTGTGTTTTAGCCTGGAAAACCTAATCTTTTGGTAATCCACACAGGGAAAAATTGATTTAGGTCACATAGTGACCAAACTTCTTTTTTACCATGTATACAAGGGACACTATTTTTTATGCTATGATTTTTATGCGATGTAAAAAGTCTTAAGTAGAATGGTGTGAGTGTAACAATCTGAGCAGATTTTTCAATCTACAACCTCAACTCTTCACAAGCAACAGATGTGTCATATTCTGAGATACCAATTTTTGGAAATATTATTTTCCAATCCTATTTAGCTTTGCAAAGAAATCTGTACAAGTGTACCTTTCTTAAAAACTTCTGAATGTCTGCATTGGTCACACAAATAAAACACTCCCTCCTGTATTCCTCCAACTGCGGTACAAATGGTAGATCAATAGCCTAGCAAGCCAAGAGCTTTTTACCAAGAAACAAAATGTGTGCAAAATATATCAACATTCATTAGCTAGTCACAAAAATGTTCAAACAATTTGGGTTCAGCTCCTTCTAAATAAATACCACCCATTTGATGGAAAACAGTGTGATAGTGTGTGTTTAACATACATAGAGTGGTCAGATTGCTTTCCAAAACAATCCTGATTCACTTGCACAAGCCTGACAGACACAAACATGAGATGTAATATATATATATATGTTGTTCAGATTTCATTTACCAGCTGAAAGCATGGTAGTTGACGTTTGATCCTTTAGATTTTACTGGAGAAGGACCATGTTGTACATTAAACAGCAAAAAAAAAAATAGTACGAAAACATAATTTTGAGAAGTTATGATTGTGTGATGGAGTGGCTGTGTCGTTGCACAAGAACTTCATGTTTCCAACAGTTCAGCAGAGCAATAAGTTCCAGTTAATAAATCATCCCAATCTACTGTGAAATCCTAATTACAAGGTTATGATGTTTTCAGCAATTCACTCAAGTGTCCTGTTAATTATCCCAAGCATTATTCCAGCAGTCAGCCCACAAAAATCTTTTTTATTTCCTCATTTATTTTAGTTACTTACAGTAGATTTATCATCATTGTGGATAATTCCTCAGTCAATTAGCTGTTGTAGCTTTTTCCATAGCAAAGTTAGTTGAAAGCAACATCTTCTCATATACAGTACAGTAGGCAACAGAATGGCATCGTGGTCAAAAATACAATCCAGTGACACACTAAACTTTCAAGACGTTAGAAAATTGGAGCAAAAATAATCCTGGATTCGGAAAAATATGATTGATGAAGCTTTCTTCTAGTACTGCCTTTATAATTCAAACCAATTCACAGTCTTTCTCTAAGGACTTGTTGTCCAGATTCTTTCTTTAAGAGGATTTCTCTATTGCTCCAGCGTAACATGTAAAAACTGCAAGAGAAAGCATGCAGTGTATTCTGAAACAACCTTTTGTAAAACTCAAACTGAGGACTCTCTGAACTAAGCATTTCTCTCTCTCTTTTCTCAGTTACTGTTAGTTAATTGACTTAATTGAAATTCCAAAGTTAATTTCACAATTCACTTTGTGTCAAATCTGTCACACACATCCTCTTGAACAAGCAGAAACTGATACAGCACAACTGCCTCAATAATTGCCAATGGAACTCTATTTGTTAATAGAAAAGTTGTTAGTTTTGTGACACAGTGGAGCCTGTCTGAGACTCTTAGAGTGCAAGGAAGGACTTTTCCCCTTTACAGCTCATTAGCCCATCATAGTGTACACACAAAGAAGCACCCATGCACAATTTATAGATCCCAGTTATCCTAGTTAGCATGTCTTTGGAAAACAAGAGTCGGGAAAACCAGAGCACATAGGAAAAACTCCTATGAATACAGGGAGTATTCATGCAATCTCCTCACAAAAAGCACCCAAACTAAACAAAAGAAAAATGAAACATACTATAATAGTAGCACTTGCGTGTACCTGTTCTAATCAGTATACCCATTTGCAAATTGCTTGCATGTTTTTTTTAGTTTCCTTTTTAACATTAAAGGTGGCTCTGAAAATGTTATGTATGAAAGACTATTCTGCTAACTACTGTACAAAATGAGCTCTGTGAATTTCATCTAATTACCGTATAACAGGCAGTGTTTATAATTCATTGGTGACAGATTTTTAAATATTTTTTTCAAGGTGGGGAGCACAGAGAAGCACAAGCTCCAATTATCTGAACGTCTAGATCAGCATCGTCTATTCAGAATCAAGCGAGGAATGGATATTATGAAGTTGGCATTTTTACTAAATAATTAATTGCAATAATAAATAGATAATTAAATGGCTTGGATACCACTTAAAATTAGGGTGGGACTTAAAAATGGCCATCATAATGAATTATAGAGCAGGCATAAATATTAACTAGTTCTTCATCCTGAAATGCTACAGGAATAAGAAATCATAAGATAGTACTGTAGCTTTGTGATTGGATTAACAGCAAATTAATACTCATACCAAACGTGTAGATATAGGCTAATGTACTGTACTATAAAATTAGTTACCTGTCTGATCAGTGACTTATAATTGTTTGCTAATTGCTGGAACTGAAACAAATTAACTGTAATCAGTTTATGTCATGTCCAATGCTCTATATAATACTGATTTATTATCTTTGGACGATATCATTTTCAGGACACAAAATGAAATGAAAATGATGTCAATGCATCTCTAGACTGTTCTGGTCATCAAAAGGAAAAGTGTTGAATTAGCTTATTAGCTACAGTGATGGAGTCCTTGAAGATTGAAGAAGCAGAAGGTTGCCTGCATAAAAGGGATAGTATGAAGGGCAACTTTTAAGGGAACGAAAGGAATTTTCACTTTTTACCATTGGAAATGTGAGCGTTACTTTAAATAGGTCTACTGTAATGTTTATAATTGTGCCTAAGTGCACAAAATCAAATTAATAGCAGCAAAATGTTCAGGCTTTTGTTTTAGTATGAAATCCCTTAAAACTTAAAAATGTGTCATCCTGGTATGATGAATACCTAGCTAATTTTTCATATCCTTAGTCTTTTCCAGTATCTTATTTCACTCCAGTTAATTTGTCAATAGAAGCAAATATTAAGTGTATTCTGTATATTAGAGCCTCCAGCTGTGCCTTCAAATAGAAAATCCATACTTTGAAGCATTAGTGTGCTGCAACCTTGCGATTAAAACCTCACAAGAATTTTCTACACCAGTAATTTCATAAAGCCAAAGGGAATACAAACTAGAACACCTTTTAACAGACAAAATAATAAATAAATGACAAAATTAAAGTCACTGTAGTCTTCAATATACCTATGAAAAAAGATTTTAAAATATTTACAAAAAGAATAAATGGATGAATAAAAGAAACATTACAGATTTGTACACCATTTAGAATGTCTTTCCTAAAGGAGGTGTGTGGACAACCTTTGGTTTTTGAAGTGGCATTTAAAAGCAATTTAATTTTGAAAGCAAAGTTGCAAGGCACTACTGTGTTTGGGTTTGTTCTGTTTTGTGCTTGGTAATCTGTTGTTGACATGTTGTCTGTATGTCAAAGCTGTCTGTTTTAAAACAGCAGGGCTCTCAATAAAAGTAAACTACAGCACATCCCAGAATACTTCCAAACTCAAAACTTGGATAAAGTGTTTCTTAACCACAAAAGGAAGATAATTTAACTAACCAATCTTGAACCTGTTTCTTATCAGGATATTCACAGTCGTAAAATCTTGGCTCTTTGCTGCAATATTCTTTCTCTGAACTGTTTCTACACAGAGCTATACAGAAGAATGTTGCCCTGCAGACTACATTTCAAAGTATAAAATGCTTCACACGGACTACTCAGAAATCAAGAGCATGTACGCTAGGAGGCTTAATTGAATTAACGGGTGATATATGTCTCCAAGCACTTCTGTGGTAATGTACCACCCATAACAATGAAGGTAAATCTATATTCCCAAAGGACAGAGAGAGAGAAATACAAGTTCAGAGAGAGCACCTGAAAATACAGTTTCCCGAAAATGTGTTTTTTAAACAGAATATTTTTAAAAAGATCAGATTGAAAGGATCTTTAATACACATGCGTGAAAACAAGTATTCTGGGCAGGCATCCCCTTGATAAACTGCAAAGAATGGAAGATTCTCTTATGCTGCACATGGAGATTGGCCAATATGAAGGCAAGGGTAAAATAGAAACAGATATCTACAGTATACAAGCAAATGATTGTTTTGGGGGGCATACCGCTTTGGGCTGGAGCAGTGTTTGTCATGTCGCTAATTCAGATTCCGAAGGAAAATATTCCCCTCTGTTTTCTCCTCTTGCAGGTCATAAACAAAAGTCACAGCATAGAATCAAATATCATCCACTGGTGTAAATCCAAACTGCTGCCGAAATTCGTCAGTTGCACAAAAATGATGACTTGACTGTAGGTTTACAAATGTAGTAGAGCAGTCCCATTTGGGGGATTTATTTGATATTTTTACAGGGGGAAAACGAGGAAGCCAGAGAAAGTGGAGTACTGCCATCCTCCCACCAGGTTCCCTTTCTCCAGTTTCAGATAGACTTTGTCTTCCTTGTCCAGGTATAGCAGCACTCCATTTGTGGCTGCCTCGCGGGTGACATCTTTATCGCCGGCGAAGGCTGAGATCACCGGCCGGCCATTCAGCATCAGGTTTACCTAGACAGCAGAAAAGACAACAAGGAGAAAGGTGGCAAAGGATTTTGGTGTTTGGCTAGTAGTAGAGATCTCTATTGTATGTACTGTTCAAAGATAAACATGCAATTAATTTAAGAGGTCTTCAACAAACAAACCTATTATTAGAAAATGGGGCTGCTTTTATAGAATGTGCTGCTAGAATCTTTGTCAGATACCTCTGAGCACGTAACTCACAAGGCCCAGAAAAGTACCCAACATACCGTACCAGCTATGTTAAAACTCCAGCCTTATCCGTGACATTAGCATTTAATCTTATATTAATCTAATGTCTGCATACTGTCATCTCACTTTTTTTTAAAACGACAACTTACAGTACCTTCAATGCAGTAAAAACCACCACCTGCCTAACCAAACTCTTTGCAAATGACATAAAATATTTACAATTCTGTGTGTCATACTGGTGTCTTGATCTTTAGGGTGTCAAGCTCATCTCAAATCCTAATTATCCTTGCTTTCAATTACAGTTCAAGGCAGATTTGGCCACATTGGGCACACGTATTTTTAGAAAGTGGCCAGATCAGGCCTGCTCATCCTACAGCTCTTCTAATCATCGCTTCTGATCAGTTGTATAATTTAGTTACAACCAACGTTTTAATCATTTAAATAACAATTAGTCAGTGTAACTGAGTATCTTAAAGCTATATTATATATGGTCTTCTAATTTATATATTCGAGTTAATTAATTTGTTGTAATCCTGTTAATCTCACTGTATAATTGTCTGTTTATACTGCAGTTTTTGAGCATTTTGTTCTTTACGTATTCATTCAGAAATGCAATAAAATCATAATAGTGCAGTCTTCAGTCCTCATTTATGGGAACTAGGGTTATCGGAGATCATCATTTGATCAAACTGATTAAAATATTTTTTGCAGAACTCAACAGAAGTTCCTAAAATACTTTTTTAGTATTTTTTAGTATACTCGCGCTTTTCCTGTGATATTTAGGCTGATGTTATAAATTTGTGGACATTACTGTATATCGAACTGTAAATAGAAAAGCTAACAGGTAAGATGCAAAGCAACTACAGTATTTTCCAGTATGGCATTGTGTTGTAGATAGATTCGATTCAATCTCACTCTGTAATCTGTTTTATGAAATGTTATATGAGCTACAGTACATCTTTACTTTTGTTGGTTTTGGGAATCCTAAACTGATCTGCAATGATCACCAAGGTTTGATATGATTGACCACTTCTTTAGTTTTGTCAAATATGTATTATTAAGTACAGATATTTTATTACTGAATGCATCATATTGTTTCAAGTATTAATGATTCACTTTTTGTAGGACACACACAACTAAAAATACCGAAAGATCCTCTTTAGTTAGGTAGTGAACAGTACATTGGAGAGGCATTAAATGATTACAAAATATTTATCTGAAAAGATGATTAAACACAATCTAATCATACTTGAAACAGAGTCAAGTATTTTTTACCTAACATGTACAAGCATAAAAATGAATCAATCATTCATTTTTATTGTTAGTTCTCTATATTTAGGATATTAAACATATTTGAAATTTCAGGCCATATATTACTATTCACACAAATCAAAGACATAAGATTGCCTATTGCTATAATGAACCTAGAGTAGAGTCAGTTTTTCTGATTAAACAGATTGAGCAATAAATCAGCTCTGAAAATTATTTCTTTAAGAGAACATGAAAAGTATTTTAAAATGTCCACCTTCGCGTTCCCACAAGAATACATTAATTTAAATGCATGTAAACAGTGAATAGAGAAAATTGGCAGCCACCCTTCTTAAGACAAGACTGGGAAACTTCAGCAAGCTGACCATCTGGCTCTATAATAACAAGGAAGATCTGAGACAGGATGGGGTTTGAAAAGTGAGAGACATTCATGAATCAATTAAGTGTCCCACTTTTGCTAAACATTATGTAATTACCATGTACAGCAAAAAAACAATAATGATCGGCTGTCCACTCTGTTGTGTCACGAACCAAGTGAAAACCTGACCAGGGATGCTGACTTGACCCAAAGGAGATGGTGCAAATTAGGAAAATAATTTAAAGAAGATAAATTAAATCTACAGTATAAGACGTGCAAAACTAAAATTAATACACTTCCATTTCACAATCTGTGGTAATGATATGTTAATTCCTTTAAAGAGTCATGGTGTGAGAATGTTCCAACACATTGCACATCCCATGACTCCTGAGAACTGTACACTAGAAGCAAACCAGAAATTTTGCTCAGTTTGTTATACTTTACTAAAGATGAATTGATGTATGTATTATAACAAGAAATAGGGCTGTATGTATTGCAGGCCACTGGTCTACGTACTGCAAAATACTATAGCAGACCTGAGCAATGTATCAATTCAGGCAGCCTCAAGGGTATACAGGCAGGTGTTTGCAGATAAGATAATGCTACCAACAAGAAGTGCCATTCAGACCACAGGAGTCTACTAAACAAAGAGAAGATTGCAGGTTTCACAGTAGGTACTGTAATATGATTAATTTCATGGCAATGGACAAAGGTAACATGTTTACCTTCATGATACTTTGTCCAATTTTAGAGAAACTTGAAGGATCAAACATCTCTTTCCACTCTCTTATTTCACTAGTTTGCTTTTACTGTGTAAATAATGTACTAACATAATTTTAAAAACTATCCTGCTATAGAATAATGCAAAATTACTAACTGCAGCTCAAGTGTGAGCCAGCTACATGCCTGGAACATGAAGGGCAGGGCCAGCTGCAGGCAGCCTGACCAGAACTGAGAGCGCCCGATTGCCATGATTAACAAAATCTAGAAGTACATAATGTCTGCTTAAACAACAAACAAAGGAACCCAAGAATATTCTTACAGTTTATCACATATCCAGGCTAGCAGCCTTGGCTTTACACCATATATGGCATGGAATTGTACTGGAACTGTTCTGGGTGGGTTTTCTGTTTGTGATTTTGTACAAAAAGCATCCTTTTGTATCAAAAAGTTGAGTCAGTGCTTCATCGGCTTTGGCTCCCGTATGCATATGTAATAAAGGTAATGCCTGCTTCATACAGACCCAGATTGTGTCTCCCTTGTTGGACACATTCAGTTAGCTAATGGGGACAGACCTAACCTAGCCTGCATGTCTCTGGGAGGTGGGAGGAAACCTCAGTGCTCAGCAAAACCAACCCACATGAGCAAAGGGAATATTTACAAACTCAACATACTGTAGGGGGTGCCCCGGCCCAGAACTGAACCCAGGACACGAGAACTGGGAGAATGCAGCACTAACTGCAAACTCACCATGACTTTCATTGTCCATATACTATAAATCCCAGGGTCTTTGACATTGAATAAAATATAAAATACATCTGAGAAAATGTACGTAAAATATTATGCATCTTAAATACTTTATATACTGTTTAATCGAATATATTTTCTGGTACGTGAATACACATACACAACACTCTTCATATATTATTTTTAAAACAACATTTGTTTTTGAATAGAAAATGTGTTTAGATAATATGCAAAGAATACAATCATAAATATATATAAATGAATATATTCTTCATACAGTATATTATGTTTATGACTTGTCTTTACACTCACACATAAGACTATAAAAACAAGTCATAAACACCGTCTTGCTATTAAAGCAGAATCTGCACCACAGTAAGATTTTTTTGTTTTGGAATATTTCAGCATGGAAAAATATGTCTTGTTGTCTGCTGCTGCACTACACAGTACACAGTACACAGTATGTTTGACAACACTTCACAGAAACAATGTATTTGGAAAATACAGGGAACTAAACAGTGTAAATATGAGTATATTGATTTACAACATAAATATTGGTAACAATGTTTAAGAAAGGTAAATTGATAAATACAAGTTCAGTACAATCAAAGGGAGCATTGCTCAAGTATTCCTTAGTCTGATTTATAGCAGAATACAGGAACTTAGAAAACGACCTTTGGATCATTAACATTACAAAATACATTCAGAAACACAGAACCTACCTGGATGGTCTGACTCTGGTACACTTTGATCACATGAAAGTTAAAACTGTAGATCCCTTTTCGGGGCGACACGAAAACAGATTCCAGGGTGAAATAATTGCCCACATTCACAAGGATCTGCAAAGCAAAAAGATGGTATTAGAGCCAGAGTCACCACGATCCTGCCAACAAGAGAAAACACAGCAACAGGGTACAGTGGGTGTGAAGAATGAAAAACACTGTACAGTATACTAGTACACAACCATTCAAGAAGAAAATACAGATTATTTGTAGTAGAAAGGATAGTGTTTCATACGGGGGTAGCTAAACATAGACCAAATTAACCTGGAAATGCTAACATTCTTTTTTTCTATCTACAGCTTTGTTTTCATTTTTCTTAAATTTTTGTTGATGCCAAACCCTTAGTTGTACCACAGGCTATCTATAAATAGAGTCAGGAAAATATATTATGGGTATTTGAGGAGTTTTCAATTGGTATTTTGTGCTGGGAATAATGGAGGTTCTTATTTCAAGGAGAATTCATATACAGTACAGTATGTGAACAAACTATTTTTTGTGATTTCTACAGTGTCTGTATGCCAGGGCAGGTTATAGAAAGGAAAATACGTTAAAGACATTAAAACTGTTGAATAATTATAAGAGTTTAAACTGGTCTTACAGTAGGCGTGAAGCTCCCAGACAGTAATGCTTTTTTATTTATTTGTTAAGGGAATGTGCTAAGATTGTTCTAGCAGTGTAAACCCCACAAATGACACATTTGATGGCCCCGGTGCTGGGAAGAATGACATTCTTCTGACATGACTTCTCAGCAAGTTGTGAATCTTTTCATTTATGTTTATTCTGTTTAAATTAAGGCTTTAGAATGTTAATTTCAGCGCAAGTGCGTCTTAGAATGCCAAATAATACAAGGAATAAAATCAATAATAGAAAAGAATGTAATAATGTACATATGCAACTGGTAAGTACTGATTTATCTGATTTTAAACTCATTTGTAACATAACACATCATTTTCTTTTCTGTGGTTCAGAAGCCGAGATGTGCTGTTCCTCTTCCAGTTCCAAAATTTGAATTCGTGTTTGAAATTGTTTAAAGGTCCTTGTATTATTGAAATGATGAGCTACTGACTAAAACCTGCACCTGCAAGATTCTACATCAACAACAAAAGAACTAAACTGAGGTCGGTTATAATCAATCACCCTACCAAATAAATACTGAAACACCCTACCAAATAAAATGTTGGGCCTTGCAACAAGTAGCAAAAAGTGCTTGAGCGGGGAGTAACGAAAACCACAATGTTATAAAAATACTGCATTCCAATCCTATCTGCCAGCAGCCATATCACTCTGCAACTCACAACTGGCAGCCCACTGAAGCTCAGCAGGTGTGAGCCTGGTCAGTACCTGGATGAGAGACCTCCTGGGAAAAACTAAGTTGCTGCTGGAAACCAAGCTGTTAGTGAGGCCAGCAGAGGGAGCTCACCCTGTGGTCCACGTGGGTCTAATGCCCCAGTGGCGTCCTGGCAAAATTTCCCATTGGCCCTTACCAATCATGGCCTCCTAATAATCCCCATCTATGAATTGGCTTCATTACTCTGCTCTACTCGCCACTGATAGCTGATGTGTGGTGAGCATTCTGGCGCATTATGGCTGCCATCGCATCATCCAGGTTGATGCTGCACATTGGTGGTGGTGGAGGGGAGTCCCCATCACCTGTAAAGTGCTTTGAGTGGAGTGTCCAGAAAGCAAGTATTATTATCATCTCTATCTTCTAGCTGCATTGCACTAAGCTGAGGTGGTAAATGAGGGTTCGCAAGGGATCAGCCAGTTTTCAGTCTTTGCATTGTCAAAACCCCAGAAGTTAATAGAGATCTGGCTCAGGCACCTCAAGCCTGCTTCCTGTTGTCTACTATTGAGAGAGCTTGTACATTTGTCTGGGGAGTTCTACTTTTTAAGCCAGTGAGTATAAATTAGATCGCACCAGATCTTGGAAGCTGAGCAAGTCCAGGCCTGACCTGTACTGGGATGCAAGACTGATTGTCACTGCAATTGATGATTGTGGACCAATAGTTGGAGCTCTTTCCTTAAGATTAGAATGTGAACATCCATACCCCAATATGGGGACCAGATGTTGTGGTAGTACTGTAGGTGCTGTTATTAAGATGAGATGCTTAACTAAGGTTATGGCTACTTTGTCATGAAAGATTTCAGTGTGAGGGCAGGGGTGATAATCTTAGTATCCTGGCTAAATTTCACTTTGGGTTTGTACAATCTCACCTTTTTAAAGCCCCCTTAGGTTAATTAAAGTAAATTCTCATATCTTTCCTGGATCGGCTGTATAACGGGCCTGCTGGCGCATGATACCTACAGGGTGCTTCCAAAGACTCTATCACAGCATCATCTCTGGAACATTATCTGTCTCCATTACATGCTCCAATCCATGCTACACACTTACATTTGTCAATTTAAATAATAAATGTTTCCTAGGTATTAATGGGAAATTGGCTTCATCTGAATTGCAGATTAAAAAGTCAATCCCTGACAAGAATGACATTTTCTCATACTTGGCAATTGAAATTGAATATACAGTACAGTACCCCTTATCAGAATGGGTAACCTTACTCTTTAGTAACTTACACCTCTGCCTCCAATCTGCTGTGACATCATTATTCACTTTTAACAGTACGTTCAGAATATCAATCCTTACAGATAGCTCTCATGGAATAGATCCCTCTGGGAAATAATTAGCTGTTTTTTTATCCTGTTGTCAGTGGCAAGCTGATTTCTCTTGGTATGTAGAGTTTTGTGCAATGCAGTTTTCTTTTGAAAGAAGCCAATAGACAACATGAGTAATAACTGGAATTAGATTTCCCTGGTGATACCAGACCTCATCTTTTTCTTTCTAAATCTCGCTTCTTTGATCAATCATTCCTTTGCACCCCATTTGATCACTCTTTTGTATTTTTCTTCTTTCTTAAAAGCTGATTTTAATTGTGACTTTGGAGTGAAAGGAGTTTTAAACCCATTGCTACGATTTTAGATTAGGCAAGGCCGTTTAGATCAGATTTGGTGCTACAGCTGATGACTGGCATCTTGGTTTTGACACAAAACACTTTCCTATTTAATTTTGAAAGTGCCCGTCTGGCAGTGCACTGCATGCACTCATCTGAGGACATTCAGAGGCACAATGAATTAAACATGCTGACCTAAATTTAGCAACAAGTGCGCAGCATTACTGAATGCAAATGCTCTTCATTTAAACCAAACTGGATTTTTGTTTGCCTATCTTAACAAAAAAAATGGTTAAATTTCTAACGCAATCATGTTAGAAAAAAGTTGTTTCTTCCTATTTAGTTAAGCATCCCAGTTTTGAATTCTCAGTTATGCAGCATTTTGTAAAAATAATCATGTTTATTCAGAAGCTTCAGAAGGTTAAAGCAAAAGAACCATTATTTGCATTAGGGCATACTGTATATCAATGTGTAACATAACCTGAAAAAATAGTCAAATGAACAGATGAACCAAATAAGGGACCAGGAAATGTGAGAAATGAAATTGGTTTTCTGTATGTTTTAAACTTACATTTTTATGACTAATGCACCAAGTTTTTTTTAGCTATTTCAAAGACTCCATCACCAAAACCTACATAAAATAAGTATTTAATGGTATAATATACAGTACATGTTCTACAAGTTTATTTTCTATAACAGATTATTTTTCCTTATTAGTATACATGACATACTGTAGTATAATAAAATCCAGTAAAAACAATAGTGCAAAAATAATAATTGATGCACTATTAAGATCGGGGAATCTTATTGTCAATATTTAATCGGCTAACTGCGGTTTACTCTGCAATACAATCATGACATGTCAGTGTCTGTTGTCTGTCACTGCGCTAACGCAGGTCTCCTTTCATATACAGTACAGTACTTGCCGTTCTACCGTTTTAATAGACAAATAAGAATTAAAATGACTAGTTAAAAAATTATCTTGAATTTAACATTCATTTTCAGTGAGAAACAATAAAATATAATTTGTATAGGCTTGTAACTGGTATAATGAAATCCTTTTTTTTTCTTATTTTGAGCTAATATGGGTAGGATTTGTTTTTTTAATGGCAGAGTGTGCGGCGAGTGAAATGGCTTACAAATGGCTTATGTGCAGTACATCCATGAAGGTAAACCCAAAGATATTATACTCGGTTATTAACCGTACATTATGTAACGCTAAACTAACCATCAGCTACTGTATATTACAAAATCAAGTTTACAATATATACCTGTACGTATTATGGAATGATATAAAATGCTGATGGCTTTGGGGCATTCAAAGTTGCTTAAACAGATTTTACACTCACTTTTTCTTTAAAGTATGCAGATACAGGTACATTAAGTATTAAAAAGGATTCTGTGACAGGTTAGGTTGTTTGTGATACAGTATTGGGGTGATACAGTCGAAACGCATTGGGGTTTCTTAACTGTTACGCTGAGCGCCAGGTTTGGGTGCTTGACTTAATGCGCCAAGGGAACACAGCGAGCGTGGCAGTCAAAAAATGCCCAGAGGAGCGCTACCGTGCCCAAGGTACTGTTTGCATAACGCAGTTAAGCATCGCAGACGTGCATAATTGAAAGGAAACATTACCACCACAAACTGCGGTTATTAGAAAGTCATGCATGGACCCGTAAAGTAGCAATATTCTGAATGTGAATTGAGACAACAGCATTACGAGAATCTAACACACTGAACCTTCATTTTTGTCCCCGTTCTTGCTCTCTATCAATGTACGAAATCACCACTTCTTAAAGCCATCAATAGGTTCAACAGCCCTTTCTATATCGAACAGAGTCCATACTACATCATATCATTAACGAAACCTTTTCATAACTTTAATAGTACAGAATACGTCAATTCGCACTGTGCATACTGTAACTGGTTTTGAAGAGGCTTACTGTACGTCTAAGTTTTAAAACAACACCTTTAGCTCACACAAAGTTAGTCTATAGTGAAAAGAAACTGAATAGGAATAAAGACTGGGCTGTAGTTTAGGTAATGAATCTGGTAATTACAAAGGGCCTAGATCGCACCTCGCCTGTATACATACTGTATGAAGTATTTTTTTTCTTTAATAACGCATACGGAATATACAGATTTCGAACATTAGCAGGTATACATTCTATACATGTACAAAAAAGCTAAAGAAAATAAGTTATATAATTCTGACTACTGGAAAATGCCAAATGTAACGAGCGCATCGTTACATATTTCCATATCGACAGAAAAAAAGAACACTGACATGTACTGTATAACTGAAACATAAACGTAAACAAACTGAAGTTATTAGAAACGAACAGACAAGCACAACTCATCACTATCTTAACATTAGTCGATTGCTTTTGCTTTTCACGATTTCTGTTTCTGTGCGTAAAAAAAGACATTTTCCATGGGTAACATTAATGAGCATTACGTTAATGTGACGCAAAATGAGTGCATCAATTAATTTAACACAAGCACGCAAAGCTGCAAGTACTGTAATTATACATTTATTGGACATAACATTGAGAGACTGCATTCTCTGGTTTGCTTATCATCAGAAACGTACTCTACAGTATGTCTACTAGCGGATAAAGGAGTGTCGGTGAGACAGGTGAGACCAAAAACATGCACAGAAGTTAATCTTTCATCTCTGCTTTGTTTTTGATGTAGTCCCTATTTCGGCTCGCTTCGTTTTCCCGCTCCATTTAGGCTCCATGTTCTACATGGTCCATAAAACGCGCACTGACATTTATTTAGTCCTGCGGGGATGTGCTATCTGATGGAATCCCTCGAAATGCAAGTCATTTATATCAGAGCGTGACGATGTTCTACAAACTTCGCCTGCTCTCACCAACATTTATTCCAGCAATCAATATACTGTAGATACAAAACGATGATCTATTTATCATCACACTGCGGTCTAATCTATTCAACAGTTGCGCGTTTTCCACGAAATAATTCCAGCTACCTGGAAAGTCTTATTTATTAGCCAGAGATGAATAAAAATTAGTATCATTTCAGTTATGTATATCCGTATGATACACAAACTACGGATAATTTGTTCAGTCAAAATAGTACAAAGTGCGCACGGGTTCTCCATTAATAAAGAAAAAAATAGCCAGTGTTGTTTGGTCCAAAGCATGACAATACAATACATCTACAGTATGTTCTGATATTCTAAAGATAGTGGAGCCTAATGGTTAAAAAAAGCCCCAAGAGATTTAACTTTTTTCTCCCAGACAACTTCAGGGATCAGGTTTAAAAATGAAAACAAGGGAAACTGTCTATTGCCTCATGCAGGCAGTCCCATTAATTCCCTTCAGACTTCCAATGTGCCTTACCTGATCGAAGTAGATAATTCTAGTTTTATTGCTCATTTCTGAGGGTTCGTGGTTGGTGCTTCTCACCGCTGAAAATGCCACCTTGGAGTTCGCTGCGCGCACCGAGATCCCGAGCGGGGATGAGGAGCCCTTGGAATCTGTAGCCGGATTAGAGTCACAAACCACAAGGCACTTGCCCTCCAGGACGATGGGCTCCGTGTCATTCTGAGCCACGACAAGCTCGATGTACAGAGAAAACCCGATTAGAAGAACCACGACCGTGAACATAGCCTTGCTCAGTAGCATTATCAAAACCATTGTAAGCGATCCCCGCTACTGGTTTCCAAGTCTTGTTCCTTTTGTTTTTCCGGTACTCCAGCTGAAAGCCACTAGTCCCGTTTCTTATTAGATTTGATGCTAGAAAAATGAAGGGAGCCAAATTAGCAATCTCTTTGCGACATCGAGAATCTCAAAGGTGAATTATTGATGCTCTAGATCGAGAAATAACAAAACATTTGACGTTGCCATGATTTCCCCACGTCTCTACCTCCCTTTTCTTTCCAGATCAGATTATTTCGACCGTGCCTGTTCCAGCCTGGGTGTAATCTGGATGTAATGCGATATTGACTGCAGGGGTTACAGACTGGTAGCTCTTTTCCAGTCTGCCAGGCAGAGAGCTACACTGTGTCTGATTTCATTGCCGGGACTTCTGCACATTGAGATTCGCTAGCTGCTATTCCCCGTGGTGTCATGTCACGAAGCCGTTCAATTTACCTGAACTCATATTAATGAACCCATTCTTTAATTCATTTAAAACTCTGTATCAAGAGGTGCCAATTGCACCCCTCTCGTCTCTGGTTAGTTCTTAATCGCCGTTTCCTTCACACAAGCGCAAATGCACTGATTGAACACCATTTAATAATCTTCAATATCCCATTGTGTAAAATTAGTCTCTTGAGAAATATCGGATTAGAATATATTTTCTATGTACTGTAAAACAACGCGAAGAGAACTCCAGGATCGACGGCGTATCGAATTAAATAAATCTTTGCGCTCCGATCACACACTGTAACTGCTTTACTAGGCATCGCTATAGGTTCTGATTCTGCTTAATGTTATAAGGCTTTTGTAAGCAAGTTGCGTGCCAGCTTCGATCAATCAAACACATTACTGTATGTAAAGTGATGCTACGGCCCTGTTGCACATTGATGTTTAATAGCAATAGCTGGCGCGATACAAAACTTCTGGCTATCTTTTTTTTTGTCACGTAAACCTTTGTGAAGTACTGTATGAGTACAATCCTGAAGCAGAGAGGGGAGATTGCACTGACTATTGGATTCATGATTTCTCAGAGGAATTTACACCAGACCATTTCTCTTTATTTGCCCTTTAACCTATAATATCACTGAAAACAATCCCTATAGTCCAGGCCCGTGGTCTATAATTATAACAGATACAAGACTGGAACCAATATGTATAACTGGATTAATTTAAGTGAAAATAAAACCATTGTGGATTAATATCTATACCTTCTAATCAAATACTCAGTGTTTATCGTTTAACACTGGAAATGACTCTGGAGTCAAAGGACTGAACTTTCTAATGTTAAATAAACATCATTCATTTCTAGGAACGTTTGCCTGGAGCACAATTTGTGCGTGCAGAGGGAAGTAACGATGTTATTTTGAACATTTTTAATTCATGAAAAATCGCGATAAAATGGTAATTATTTCCTTTTGCAAGTTGTAATAAAAGCAGAGCTGTACACTGAAGAGAAGTGCTGAATATTAGACTCAGACCTAAAAAGATATTAGAACGATGATCAATCTGAACACGGGAAGAATCACAGGTCATTTTCACGGAGAGTGAAAAGCGAAGACTAACAACGTCTGGACTGGGGGTTCTTGGGTGTGTACAGGAGAGGGAGAAAGAGCAGAGACATACAGTAAGAGAAAGATTGGGGTGGAGCAAATGGAAAAGAGGAGAGGTCAGTTAACTGTCCTGGGAGCGCCATGCGTAAAAGGAGGACGTCTAGTTGGAGATGCGGGGAGGTGCGAAAGGGTGCGACATGAAAATAAACGGGGAGCTCAGAAAGAGATTATTCGACCTGGGTTCATGTGGGGAAAAGCATGAACCCAGTTTAACAATGTGTTGGCTTGTAAGATGTGTCAAGCATACTGTAGGTATCAAGGTTGAATCAATGTGAAGCGACATGGAGAGGTCAGTGTGAACGTTATCACGAATTAAGGTGGTGGTAGGTCGAGGGTAATATGCTGTGTAGACCGTATTGGCTGCAGAGATCAGTGATCCTTACTACTCTGACACGTTCCCTGGAATTGCAAGCAAGTGGACACTTTAAGGGGTTTATATGGGATTAACAAGAAAACCATGTCCAACACACTGAACATAGTCATAGGCAGAATAAGAAAAAGTTCAGCAATAATAGGGGAATACACCAACATATTTCCCCCTATAAGAGATGATTTACAGTTCACTTGTATATGTTCTATTATTACTATGAATCATATTGTATACATGCGGTTTATTATATATGCAAATGCAAAATAATAACCACAACATTGTCTATACAATCTACAGTAACTTTTTAATGTCAATGATAGCCCTTCTTACAATTTGATTACTAAAACTTTATCATTAAAAATATAATAATATCTCAAATTAATATATTAATAAGCATGTCTTACCATTGAGTGTGATGCTAGCCCTGGCTTTCCCTTGCTGAGTTCTCTAATATCAGGCTCTTAACTTGACATTTCAGGCAACTGGCAAGTTTTCAGTTGTCGGGCTGTGGGAGGCACAAAGAGTAGACTTAATGTGTGAAAATACCTGTTCACAGAGGTACAGTATGTTCATCTAAATGCTGAGAGCAGTGAATATGCCACTTTCTTCAAAAGGTCAAATTTCACTGGCAGGGATTTCTAACAGGCAATGATAGAGATGCTGTGATCACTTTCAGTAGCCTACAGTGTGTTTCACAGATTCCAGAACTTTGAGTTCCAATTCAATTAGATCCATTTAAAATCCTCAACACCCATCCACAGAAACACTAAATAATCCATGTCTCTCATTTCAGAGCTGTCTGGTTTAATCAGAAAAGAAAATATTCTGCCCAAATATTGGAGATTATGTAACCTGACAGAAAATGCCGATGCCAGTTCTTGCATGTACAGTGCAATTCAAACTCAGCAACATGGTTTGTGCAATTTTCTTTAAGTTCTTTAAGATGTTGGAAACAGCAGAAAGTTGAGATGTCAATGTCCCGAGCAACAAAAAGGCAAGTTTTGCAAGAAATGCTTTCCACGTTTCGAGAAGACACAACAGCTTGATCTAGACCCTGCGGATGGAGGTTCCATTTATTCATATGTGTGGTGACATCAGCGAGAAACATTAGTTTCATTGTGCAGTTTGGGGTAGTTTTGACCTTTTTCAGACAACAAGATCTACAGTAGATTGCATTAATACAATTCACAAAGCATGTGAAAACCTTCCCACAGCTTAGCCAATGAACATTTCAGTGAAGCAGAATGTCCTTGCATACACTGTGCTACGCCACACCCACGGAGGACTCATCATTCCACCTCACATTCCAGTACTGTTGCTAATTAGTCAGTTAACCTCAGCCTATTTAAGGCTGCTTCACACACATCTGCCTGCTCAGAATTGGGTTTATTCTGTGACTCAATATTTGGATATTGGCTTCCTGACCCTGGTTTCGGTTTTGGCTTTCTACTGTTTGTTCTGGTTTTGACTTTCAGTTTCCTCACAGCTCCACTTCTACTTTGGTACTTCTGCCCTGGTCCGACTACCTACGGCTTACAGACCTCAGCTTGCTCACTCGACAACATTTCTGGACGTTATGCATAGGGTCCACACTACTTTTCCGAAACGCACTGTCCATTTCCTGAAGCAGAGTTTGATACCACCTGTGCCTCAAGGCAGATTTAGCAACAAGAAATTCAAGATTTTCACCCCTGTAGGCATTACATTATTAAGATAGTAATTCAAAATCTTGATGCAAAATTATTTGTAGATGGGAAAAATACAATGAAAGTTCACTATTGGGATGGCCAATGTCATGCACAATGATCTTTACAAATCCCTCCTGTTTTCTGAACATAGCAGGGACACCGTCAGTCATCACAGAAAATATTTTAAGTCAATTCCTCTTTCCTCAGAATGATTAACAAAACTCTCAGCTATATCTTTCCCTGTAGTTGTGGTTTTTAGGCAGCATGCTCTTCTTGAATTCCTTCTGAGTCACAAGATCTTGCAAAAATAGATTTTAATGGCAATGCCTGTGTGTAGCAAAGCAGAGGTTGGAAACACGGGTGAATTCTCCGAGGGGGTCATCTCATTTAGAAGATCAACATTCTTCAGATTCTCACAAGGAAATCACTGAATTGGCAGCACCTGGAGACTCTAGGTCGCTGTAAAAGCAGTTCCAGGGGGCAGTCAGAGGTTGTCTTTTCATGGACCCTTATGGTTTAGTAAGACAGTAAATATTTAAAAAGACAATTTGGAAATAAAGGTTTTCGTTAAGCACTACAAATCAGAGAAGATTTATAGCAGGATAAACTTGCTAGCAGCCTTGGTCGTTTTCCAGGTCTGGACACCGGTAAATAAGAAGACAGTTAATGAGCGTACCTGGCCAACTGAAATTGACCGAGAGAGGTTATTGCCACTGCTATCCGGGGAAGACACAATTATGGTCCATGTGGAGACCCCCAGAAATGCTATCAAAAAAGAGGGACCTTTTCACACTGTGGTTTGTTGACATTGTTGGCCATTTCACTTACGCATTTCTCCACAGATGTAATAGAATGCAGGTAAGTCTTTTACCACTCAAGATCGTGTCTTTGTTGGGCAAACCATCAAACAAAAATTTTGAACAACTAAGAAAAGACTCTTGTATATTCCCCATCTGTACAAGGCTTTCCATGTTTCGCAACACGTAGTGCAATTTTTATAATTTGCTTCTGTGGTTGATTTTTACTTAAACAGAAATAATTGAAGACACCTCTTTTTATTTTCACACTACTATTATCAATTTGATAGCCTCAGCCTTGTCCACCATATCCTTGAAGTGTTTGTGTTGTTTCTGAAAATGTACAATAATTGGACACTTGATGTGTGACAAACAACGTCCTCACAACATAGATCACAAACAGCATGGTCTTGATGTTGAACAAATCGATATTCCTCTCTCCAAAATTGTTGAAATGACCGAACATCTAACCTTGCTTTTTTTTAGCAACTGCCATTTTGTCCAAAATGTTGACTTGACACTTAATTTGTGAAAAATATTATAAAATATTATGAGTCAGGGTTTTCACATTCTCACAAAGTCAGTGATTTGCTTGCATCTGGAATCACCAGATCCCTATAAAGGCAGTGTCTGAGCAGTCAGATGTTGTCTTGTAAGATATTATCTTTATCAAGGTTTCTAGGAACAGTGAGCACTAAGAATGAGAAAAACAAAACGTTTAGGGAGAGTTTGTTACAGTACCTACAGTACATACTTCATTAGAGTATACACTAGGTTATGACTGGATATTATTGGTAGAGGTCTCAGGCACTTTCCATGTTGGGACGCTGGTAAAGAAGACGGTTAATGAGCATAACCGGCCAAACAAAATCAACTGGGTTGAGGGTATAACCGCTGCTACAGAGAGAAAGATAGGCTTTTGGCTTCAGGTTTTCATGTGCTAGACATGCTGTCATGTATCAGCTAAAGGGGATCTTCTTATGACGCACCAGCCAAAAAAGTTTTAGGATCCTATGGGAAGTTGAGAGACAGTCAAACAGGTTGAGGTAGAAGGGAAGCCAGGTTCTATGATCTGAAACATCAGGCAAAGTGGTAGTTGAAAACGATATCCGAAAGTCCCAAACCAAAGAGGTAGCAGAAGGAGAGAAAGCGAGATTACGAAGGCAAGGTAGGAGCTCTCAAGAGGAGAAACTAATACTGGGCACAAAGCAGTGTGAAGTGAGGGTTTAAGTATGCGGTGAACTGGTGATGAGATCATGAAGAACAGCAGGAGATGATTAGTTAACTTTTGTGGCGATGTTTGGTGTAATTTGGAAACCCCTGAAGCTGGTTAACTTGTTTACAGGTAGAGCT